ATTTCACAGCAGGTGATCATTATTCAGAAACAGGTTGCAATAAATTAGTCAAGCAAATCCCAATTTGCTGATAAGCCTCATTTAATTTCCTAATTTCATTAGTTCTTTCCTGTAAAAGACCCACACTATTATGTTTACATTCATGGGCTATTTGAGTAATTCTTTTAGGACTAATCCCTTGCTGACAACAAGCCGACATACATTGATAATAAGCCACGGGATTTCTTTTAGCCTTAACTTTCTTGCTCCTTTGAATTTTAACTGGAACCAATAAATTAGGTTCAGCACAATTAGAACAGTAAGTTGGTTGTTTATCTAATTCCTGCTTATTTTGAGCGGGAGAATAGGTGATAGTTTTTTGAAATTCCCCTCCGCATTTATCACAAGTGTAATTTTGCTGGGGATATTGAAATAAAGGAGTTGGATTTGAATTATTTAAATTAGTGTTTAGCATATTTTCTTTATCTTTTAATTTTTGCTGTAATTTATCTCCAAAACGACGAGCATTATATTCGGTTAAGAGCCGCATGGCTCTCTTACCTATTACTTTTCCAGCGTGTCTCATAATTTTTAAAATTCTTTTACAAGGCTAAGAAGTAGTGCGGATATTAAAAGGCAATAAAGTCAGTGAGGTATTAATTAAGGTTTCGACCGACTGTTGGGCTAAAAATCCGCATAAAACGGCTAATAACATACTTAAAATAGTTCCTGCCATAAGTTTTAAAAAAATTCTCCAAATCTTTTAAATTGTCCACTGCCAGTATTTATCCAATGACGAAGATAACAACCGAAAATGAAACAGGCTGAGAAAAGGATGACATATTTAAGGCTAAAAATTGAGGATTGTTTTTGGGACATATTATTTACTTTTGCTTTCCTGGGGCATTTGGGTTAAATTATAGACATAAAGTCCTAGATAACTAACCAATATTCCCAAGGCGATATATTTGTAATTGATGGTCATATTATTTCTTTTCGTTTTTATAATTTGGTTCACCAATTTCTTTCTGGGAACAAGTAATCTCTGCTGCTCAGAAGAATTGGCAGTCTTTTATTTTTTTATTCATCTTTTCAAAAATAAGCAATGGCTAGCAACAAGAATATCCCCACTCCCAAGGCAATGGCTATTTTTTGAGTATTCTGACTAAAAGCAATATTTTCTTTTAGTAAGTTCTCATAGTAAGCAGTTTTAGTCTCAATGGTTTGTTTCAAATTTTCTTCATAAAAACCTTTTAAGGCTCCTTTGAAATCAGGTAAGTAATCTTTTAGTGCCATAATTAATTAGTTGCAGTTAAATTCAGATTAATGCGAATTGGTTCGCCGTTCTCTGAACTTTTAACGTAATGATAAACAAATATTCCTACTACTGCTGTAGCAATTAGGGTGTAAGTGATAATTTGAGTGGTCTCGGAATTTTGCGGAGCCAGAGCTGATAAATCTTTCACTATATTAGCCAGATGTGGAGTTATTAATGACTGGATTTCCATAATTATTTAATTGTTCCGTTCGGGCTTGTCTTTGCTGAAATTTAGCCACGGGGTCTAATTCAGACTGATTAAGGTTGCTTTCTGGTGGGGATGATTCCGAACCAGAATTTTCCGTTAATGGCTTATATTTTCAATACTCTTGACCTTTAATATCTTTCCTTGGTAGGCCCAAATATCTTTTCTGACCGACTTTGGTAATCAAGGCTCCATTTATTTTCTTACTTTTTCAAGTCAGAATATTTAAGCGGTCAGTAAAGAAAAAATTGGGGTCTTCGGCTAAGATTTCTTGGAGGGTGCTGGTAATTACATCTTTAAGGTTGGAAGTATTGCTTGCGTTCATAAGGGCAGAAAATTAAAAAGGAGTAAAAAGTTTAATAACTACTTTCTTCCTCCTGGTTCGACTTTTTGTCGGGTTTTTTACTAAATATTTTACCAGTTACTTTTTGTAACATTCCTGTTTGGTATAAAAAATAGCCTGCGGCTAATCCGATAGCGAACATGGCTAATTTACCCGTGGCTCAGGCCATTCAAGAATTATTATTTTCTAAATTTTCGTTATTTTTAGTCATAGTTTATTATTTTTTTGCTTGTTGGATAAACAAGTAAGCAACATAGACATAAATGCCAATGGCGGTTAAACCAATAGCAGAATAAGTAAATATTTTTTGGGCGGAATATTCGAGGTCTTCCCGAATGAGTATGCTGCGTTTGTTACTGTATTGTTGAGTTTCCTCTTCTTCTTTAATTGCCATATTATTTTGATAAATTTTGTTTTAATAATTTATTTTGTTCTTCTAACAAGGCGATAATTTTGTGCTGATTTTTATTTAATTCTTTGACTTCGTTGATTAAAGGCGTGATATCAGGGAAAAAGGACATATTTATTGCTGTTCTGATTGTAGATTATAATCAATGGCTTTGGTTTCTTTGGAATGGCTTAGTCTGACAGACTTAATGCTCTGGACTTGTTGATTTAAAGCAGTGAATTGTTGGACCGCATTATTCTCTAAACTTGATAATCTCTGATTAAGGGCTTGTTGATTGGCTAATATCTGCTGTAAAGTCATTTGAATTTCAAACATAGTTCCTCCCATTTGCGGGATTTTTTGGCCGGTGAATTGTTCGAATAGTAAGGGCAAAAAAGGAAGGGATTGTCCGACCATTTTCATGAGACCCAAAGGTTCAGGTTTAGACTGTTGATGATTTTGATTTAAATTATCAAAGCCGCCATTTTCAGTTTGTTGATTATTATTTCAGTTCTGATTATTCATGAGCGAGTTATTAAGTTGCTAAATTAACAATAAAATTCAAGGCATAGGCTCCCCCACCAATGGCGGGTAGATATTTCAGATACTCATTATCTTTACTAATATATTGTCCGTAAAAATAAAGACCGACACACAAGGCGGCGACTACTAATAGTAATGCTTTTTTATCCATTTGTTTTTATCAAGTTTAAAAGCAAATTAGAAGTTTTTTAAACTTTCCATTACTCATCTAATTCTTTTTTTAGAACCTTTGAAGCCTGGAAATTAATCCGATAATAGCGGTAAACACCATAAGTATTTCTAACTCGTGATATCTTTTTCTGAAAGGTTCCTACTTCACCTATTTTGATAATTGCTCCATCTTTGGCTTTTTTTAGATTAACCAATAAGTCCTTGGTCACTAATTCGTAAGCCTGCTTAATTTGAGATTGATTGCTTGAACTTTTTTTAATGGGTTTTTCAACATAATCTAATCTTTTTTCATTCAATTCTGATAAGCGTAAGCCACAACCAAACCTGCTACAATACCAAAAGCCAGATAAGTTAATTTGTTTTCTGGGAATTTCATATTTTTATCTTATTATAATATTAATTTCCTATACAGGGCAAGAAGTTCAGTTAAATATTTATTTACAGTTGCCTTTAAAAGGGAGAGCTGGAAGGTTGCTAATTTTTAGGAGAGCCTTCAATATTTTTCTGAGTGAGACTGAATTATTTTTCCGAAACCGGGCAGATAACAATGCTATATTTTCTTTTTATATGTTTTGGTTAGCGAGCGACGCGAGGTTTTTTCTTATAGAGATTATTATAATGAATGGGAATAAAAATCTTTATAAGTAAAAAAAGGGGTGTTTTTTTTGAATAGCCTTTTAAGAAAGTTTTTGGAGAATTAGAAAAAATTTGTTAGATGATTTAAAAGTTAGTAATTAGGACAATTTTTTTGAGCCATTATACAGATTAAATCCGCTTGTTTGGCTCTTAATTTACCAATATTTTTATGTAAAGAATGGTCAAAATCAATGAAAAGAACGGAAAATAAATCGTTATAGGGTTTTTCTTTGGTATGGAAATAGTTGCGTTTTAAGTCGCCAATTAAACGGATTTCCGTGTTGGGGATAGATAATTGGTAAAGATTAGCCTCTAAAACAAATACTTTAACCTCACTTTTTTTAGCATACTTTTTAAAGAATTGCGTAATTTTTTGTTGAATTTTAAAATTAACAAAATGACAGTTCCGTCGTTGGTCAATTTCTTTAAAGGTTAATTCATTATATTCTCCAAACGACTGAATCAATCAAGAGAAAAAAGAACGGAGTTTATCTCCTCTTAATCGATTATGTAAAATTGGATCATGAATACACTCCGTAAGTAATTTATCAAAAACAATAATCATAGACTAATTGGCACTAACTCTTTTGCCATTAGTAAATTTGATTAAGTTAGTTAAATCAATATTGGCAAGTTCTCGTTCCGAAGCCAAAGGTTTTCGAGCATCTTTTCACGGCCTATTTTGGGCTTTTTCAAAGATAAGATATTGCTCCGTATTGCGGTATTTTTTGAAAATTTTATCGGCATAATTTAGCACTAATTCATTGCTTAAATCTTCTATCTTAACAAAAAATTTTCCAAGATTGTCAAGATTGTCAAACATTTTATCAACTACCGATTTCACTACTGGTCCATTTGGTCAAGCCTGCCATTCTTCGGCAAAAAGTAAATAGCCATCTTTTAGGGTTTCCAAGTAAGTAAAGTAAATTAATCTCTGATTAATTGGTGGGATTTCTACACCCTTACTTCAAAAATACTTAGCCACCGACAAAGGATTAAGATTCAAATTCTTTAATTTTGCTTTCTGAATAATTGTTCTACTTACCATAATATTACTTACTTTTTTAGGCCTTTTTACTTCTCATTCTAAACTATCTCTATCACCAAATAATAGGATAAATAGCAGAAGTAAAAAGTTCTTGAAATTATTTTTGAGAAATTAAACACATATAAATAATTTTAAGTCTCAATCACAAAATCCACCAATAAATTAGCCCCTTGTTTGCCTTCTTCCACAGTGAAATTAATTTCTTTGCCTTCGGCTAATCAGCCCCACCTTTCCTGATTTACTTTGCCTCCAAAAACCAGAATAGATTCTCCATTTTCTAATTCCAAAATTAGGTAAACTTGGCCTTTTTTATCCGGTAATTCACGACGATTATTAATAATAGATTTGATATTACGAGTTAGGTTCATTACAAGATTTATTTCTTCTTACTAATCTCCTCTTTTAAACTCACACTAAATTTACACTTCGGCACTCTTTTAGCCGGAACTTTCATCTTTTTTTTAGTCTGTAAATTCATAGCCATACGGGGTTTAGTAATAGCCGTTTTTAAAGTAAAATAGCCTTGCAAACGAACCTCTTCACCTTTTAGTAAAGATTTTTTGGTTTCTTCTAAAAAGTTAGTGATTACACTGTCAATTTGATTTTTAGTTAATTTTATTTTTTTAGATATTCTTTCGGTTAGTTGGGATTTACCTGTGATAGTAGTCATATGTTATTTATTTTAAGGGGCTTTGTCCCTATACAGGTCTAAATTTCACCAAATTATCCAAATCTCCTGCCCTAATATAATAAGAAGTAGTGGCTAAATTGTTGTGTCCCAATACCTTCTGCAACACCGGCAAAGGCATACCCGAAATAGCCTGATAAGTAGCGAAGCATCTCCTTAAAGTATGAGGGGCAAGTTCTATATTAATAGGTAAATTCATTTCCTTCTTAATCTGCTGCAAAAACTTAAAAAAAGTAAAACGATTGGCCTTAATGGGTTCTCATTTTCTTATTTTTAATTCTCTGGCTATTTCAGGTGCGATAAATACTCATCTTTGCTTTTGACCTTTACCGCGTAAAAGATACAAATTCTTATATTCTACTTGCTGATGCTCCAAATTCAAATCAAACTCAATAGCCTCCGATATCCGCAAACCAACTTTTCAGCACAATAAAAATAAACATTCATGCTCAGCCTTTTTAAATTCTCCTTTTTTATTTTTGCGGGTTAACAAATATTCTCAAATTTGTTGTAAAAGTTGCTGATTAGGTAAAATGGTTAAAACTTTTTTACTTTTAACCAAATTATCCTTATTTTTAACTTTTTTCTTAATTTTGGTGTTAAGCATTAAATAATTTTATCTTTTCTTGAAACTAAATTGCTCTTTTGTGGCAAGTTTATAAGGTTCCAAATCTTTTATATTTTCCAATCCTTTTTTACCCCAGGGAGTAGTGAAAATATTTCGTTCGGTTAAAAATTGTTGAAGTTCCGTTAATTTATCAAATTTCAAACTTCATTTTTCATTAACTCTTCCTTTCAGAGTATAACGAGTTCCTTTTTCATGAATACTCCCAATCCCCACCACAAATCTTCCTTTGCTGTGTAATTCTCCTATTGGGTCTCCATTTTTATTCACTAGTCAGCAAGATTTTGGAAGTTCTTTAATTAAAAAATAGCGATGAATACCCTTATTAGTCTCTACAAAACGGCTATCTTTTATCCGCTCTTTGGCTCATAAGTCATCCAAGTCAATCACTACAAAATAATAATTGCCAATGGGAGTGCCAGTTCTTAAAGAATATTCTTGATTAAGTTCGAGTAATTGTTCAATGCTTCGGTATTCAGCATAATATTTATTTCATCCACTCACTAAGGGCTTTTTAAATTTAGTTGGTAATAAAATATGTTTACGGGCTAAAATTCTTAAATATTTAGTTTCGGTGATAGTTAATTTATGGTCGGACATAATTTCTGAATCAAGGTGTCTCTCTTATTGATTACGCTAATAGAGCGAAAGAGAGGAATGAGAGAATTCCTACTCTACAAAGAAGCAAATATTAGATAGAGGAGTAAAAAAAATCTCTCCTCCTCTGTTGGTTTTTCTTTTTTTCGCGGAGAACCTTTAAAAACTCTTCGCTTCTTTGACCTCGGTTTGACCTCCGAGATAAGGCTCCTATTCCTGGTTTTCCATACAGGACACTAAATAGTTATTAACTTTTAGTCTCTCCCTAGTAATTTCCATAATTGACGGATGAATCCGGATTATTCTGTCAGTTTACTATTTTACGCTCCATTTTTTACGGAGGAGGTGGGCTTCCTTACCCTAGTGGGTGCATCTTTTCCTATCCGTTTTGGTTGTGATGCTTTTTTAGGAGAGATAAAAACTTCCTGCAAAAAAATTATCTCCCCATGAGAGCCAGCAAAAATTTTTTGGAATTATATCCGCAATTGTCTCAACAGGGACTTTTTGCTGGTTCTAATCGAGAAATAATTGGCGAGCACGGTGAGAATTGGGTTTATCCATTTTCTTTTTTCACTCATCAGCCTTTTTCATTTTTTTCCACAATATCCTCAGGGCTAAATTGAAAATTAATAATATCGGCTTTGGCGAAGTCATGGCGGTAATAAATAGGTTGTCCGTCTTGGGAAAGTTTGGCAAAAACTTTGATTTTTTGGCTTAAAATAGTAAAAATAATTCAAGAATGTTCTCCTAAAATAAATCCTTGACCGCCAAAATTGGCGGTAAATTGGTTTTCATCGGGGATTTCGCGAGAATATTCAGTGTCAGGATTTAGGATGGTTAATTGGTTGTTTAAGTAATCGTATTTAAATTTCATAATCTAATGTTTGATGGTTTTCTGTCGGTTCCTTCTTCCACAATCTACTATAATCAGCATAAACAGTGGCTCAGTCATGCTGAATATACTTTTCGGTGGTCTGAACGCTACTATGCCCTAATAATTGTTGGATAGTTAATAATTGAGCCTTATTGCGGTAAAGTCAAGTGGCAAAGGAGCGACGGAAGGTGTGAGGAGTAATGTTTTTCTTTATTCCTGCTTTTTTGGCTCGGGCTTTTAATAGTCAGCGAATATATTCGGCTTTGATTTGATTTCCCCTTTGATTAACAAACAGATAATCATCAGAAGTAGGATTAAAACACTCAATCAAAAAATCCCGCAGTAAAACATATCTCACTTTATTGCCTTTACCATGAACTCTTAATTGATTGCCTTGTCAGTCAGAGTGCTTAATATTTACTAATTCATTAATTCGCACTCCGGAATAAAATAAGAAGTCCAATAGGAGATTATTTCGCTGATGAATTTTAGGATTTTTCTCCACTTTGGCTAATTTCAACTTTTCTAATTCTCCTTCGCTAATGGTATCATAAAACTTTCTCTGAATACTGGGAATTAAACGAGCAATCCTTTCTCATTCCACCTCTAATTTCTTAAATTTGATATAAGAATTAAAGGCTCGTTGTTGAACTTTTAAACTGGTGGCTTCGTAATTTTTCAGGTTAATTTTAAAATATTCTCTTAAACTTTGGGTGGTAAATTCGGAGGGGAATTTATCCAAAATATTTAAGTAAAGTCTAATCGTATTCGCTGATAAATTTTTGTCTTGTAATCATTCGGTATATTCAGAGATATTATGGTTATTCATAATATTTATGGGCTGATTAGCCCTTTTGATAGTTCAGTAAGTATTTCAGTTCATATCTTTTAAAAATCATTGTTTTCCTCCTCCTTATCCTGCCGATAACTCCATTCTTCCAATTTATCATTTAGTCCATTTTGGCTTTCAATAACGGTCTTTATTTTATCAATTTCTTCTAACAATCCTCCACAAGCATCAGGGTCTCAGGTTTCGGAATCATCCTCATCAGGTAATAAACTGGGTTCCAAGGGCAAAATTTCTTTTAATTCCTCAATATCTTTTTGAATGGCCGTTTTTAATTGTCTAGTTGTCATTTCTTTTACTGATTTATTGTTGGTGTATTCTCAATTTGGTTTGCTTTTTAAAAAAGTATCTGGGTCAATGATGAATAATTGTTTTCAGCATCAATCGCAGTAGTAGGAGAAAGAGAAATCTTGATAACCTTTTTGTGATTTTTTTCAGTCGTAATAATCCTCGGATGAATAGTCCTTGTAATTTTCGTTGTTTTCTGAACTCTTGCAATAACTTTCAAAAACCTTTCAACTAACATCACTTTCTTTTCAAACTATTTTTGATTTGACATTTTTGGGGTTAGCCTCTTGTTGGCAATTTTCGAAACTGCACTTTTTATTTACGGTCATTTTTTATTTTCTTTAATCAATCAGCAAATTCCTGGTCTTTTTTTTCATCCTTCTCCTTTTCTTGGGTGGCAAAATAAATTATTTGTCTTTCTTGGCAATAGGTAATTAGCAATCTTTCTCATTTTTGGGAGCAATTGTTTAAGCACTTGGTTTTAGCATCTGTTAAGTTATCTGTGCGGATTATTAGTAATTGTCAAGTAGCCTTACAGACTGAGCAATGGAATTTGAGTTTTTTTTCAATAGTATTCAAATGTTTAGTCATGATTTTTTTGGGACTCTTGCCAATTATGAAGCCTAAATCCCCTTTTTCTCTTTTCACAAAAAAAGAGATATCTTTTATCTACATACTGACTATTCTGAATGGCTTTGAAGATTGCTTTACTAACTAAATTAGAATAAACAAAAAGGGTTAATTTTTGCTGGTCTTTTTCTTTAATTACCGTTAGTTTGAAAAAAGGATTGCCGTATCATTCCCCTTTATCATAAACTTTTTTCTGTTCTTTGCTGACTATTCAGCCGGTAAATTCTTGGTTTTTAGACATTTTATTTAGTTAGAATTTGAGGTTTTAGAAAACAGAGTTTACAGGGGCGGGAAGGTTGACCGGGAAATTTAATTCAGCCAGAACCATCTCCACATTCGGAGCATTTGTTTTCCCGGGGGACATAACGGCTCCCGTTGAGTTCACAATTTTTACAGTAATCATAATTCTGGGACTGGTAGCAAGTAAAAGTATCGCAGCAACCGATACATTTTTTGCGGATTCTTTTCTCATTTAAAAGTTGGTAAGAATAAGCGGTGAAGGATTTGCGGACATTCTTTTCGGAATTAGAATAGTTGCCCGTTAATTCTATCCGAGTGCCTTTTTTTAGTGGGGGTTCTTGGTTATCCGTTTTAATTTTGAATATTACGGGCAGATCGATAGATTGGCCTTTTAGTCTAATAAAGGAGTAATAGTAAGGTTCAGCAAAATTCTCCTCCCGTTGGTGGAGACGGGAGGTGAGAGTTCCTTGTAAAGTGATTAGGTTATTCATCATTAAGAGATATCAAGTTCTTCTTTTTTTTCTCCCTCATGAATATTGACCTCAGTTTTTTTGAAAAAAGCCGCATATATTCCGCAAATAGCCGCTAAACTGGCACCAATACAGGCTCCTATGCTTCAATAATTAGTGCTTTTTTCTCCTCCGCTTAATTTTCCCACCTCGTCTTTTACTTCTTTAAACTTATTGTCTAAACTGCTGACATCGACTTTGGCTCCTTTGGTTTTTATTTCTTCCAGCAGAATTTTTAGGGGCGATAAATCCACTACTTCTTCATAAATGATATTGCCATCTTTATCCTTCATATCGGTTCCATCGGCATTTTTTTTGGGCTGTTTTTTTAAGTCCATTTGGCTGACGGCTTGTAATTTATCCACTAAATCCTTGGTAATCTTGCTGCCGATTTCTTCGTCCTTTTGTTTGATAAGGGCATCTTTTGCTGTAATATCATTTTCTAGATTCTTTTTCTCGTCTTGGAGTTTCTTGATTTCCGCATCAGTTTTTAATTTTTCTTGACCGATAGATTTATCAATGGTTTCTAATTCTTTGAGATCGGTATCTAAGTCAGATGATAAATTAGTATGTCTTGGTTTGGATTTATCGTAAACATGGGCTAATCTTTTTTCTATATCGGCTTTTTCAGTTCCTGTTCAGGCTGTATTTGCATCTTGCTTAGTTTTTATTGTATTAATTATGTCTTTTAATTCGTCTAACGTATTTTTGATATTTACCATTTTGTTACATATTTATTGAATTGTGTGTAATATATAGACAAAAAGGAGGGGTGGAAAAAAGTTCTGATAACTATATATATATATGAAAATAGCAGAAAAAATTAAGCAAGCCTACCGAACACTAGGATTAGCCGAAAGAACTGAATTACCCCAAGGAGCCTCCGAGCAAGAAGAAGTTAAAAGAGCCTATCGCAAATTGAGTTTAAAATACCACCCTGATCGGCAACATGGCAAAAGTTCAGCGGAGAAAAAGGAAGCAGAGGCAAAAATGAAAGAGATTAACCACGCTAACGACATTTTGACCGGTATAACCGAAGTTTATGATGATTATGACGACCCCGAAAGCACTGATTTTGATAATTCAGAAAAATTAACCTAGTTAAAAGAAAAGGTTAAAAAGGGTATTTGGGAAGCGTTGGCCCGTGCCGAATTCACCCAAACTGAATTCGAAAATATGATGCGAGAGACCCAGCAGAGAAAACCTGAATTGCGAGAGACGGCCGAATTATATATCGATTTTCCAAGTAAAATAGATGGATTAAATAATGCTGATGAAATATTAAATTACTACGAAAAATTTTTAAAAATGGTTACGGCTTGCTACCAGGACAAATTAAACAGTAATTTAGAGGATTTGAAAAATAACCAACCTAAAAGTGTTTTTGAAGAGTATATGGAGGAAAATGAGGAATGATGAAGAAAATACCGAGCCGGAGAACACGACTGACAAAAAGAAATCAAAAAGGCGGAAGAAGAAAGAAAAAGGATTTGGGAGAATTTGAAAAGAGGTGACAATTATAGTTCAGATGATTGACAAAAAAAATTCACGGCTGATAGCAAAGAGCAATTTATAGATAATGTTAAGTTCACCTTGCGACTAGAATCCGTCTCCGAGGACCGACTAAATAAAAAATTGGGAGTAAGTGATTGAAAAAATGAGATTAATAAACATTCTAGTTGAGAAGCGGCCCAACGGCGAAGTTTTGAAATTAAAGACGTGGTGCAAGTTCTCGCCCGGGAATTTACTTGTGCTTATTGCAATAGAACACGTGATGACCTTTATTTTCCAACTCAAAGAGAGGGAAAGAAATTTTGCTCTTACGAACACTGGGAACTTTGAGAGAAAGAAAATGGAAAAAGCCCAAGTTTTCGGCCTAAAAAAGATAAAGGAGGATATTTCGGAACAATTATCTTTTTGACACTGCTAATCATTGGAATAATTTGATTAGTTAAGAGAAAGAAAAAGGCTTAAAATCTATTTAACTAATCATATTTCCAGTATTTTTGTCCTCTTTTCCAGGTATTTTTTTACTAAAAATCCCCTTCGCGGAGCCTTCTTTTCATTTCTTTCTCTTTGATTTTTTCTTTTATTTGATATTTTCGTAGGCGCTGAGCCAGAGCAATTTCCAGTTTCGCTCAACCCTTATTGGTGATAAAAAGTTGTAGGGGAATTAGAGCATAATTTTTGGCTTTCATAATCCCAATTATCTTATTTATCTCACGCCTGGTGAGAAGCAATTTTCTTTTTCTCCGAGTATCACAAGCCTGGGCTAGGCTGCGGGCATGAGAATATTGATAAGCCGCAATATTCATATTAATAACATACAATTCTTTTTGCTGGGGCAAAACATAAGCCTCGTCAATCGCTACTCGGTGATTGCGAATTGATTTTATTTCGTTGCCGGTCAATGCTACACCGGCCACTCAGCGGTCAATAATTCGGTAATCTCGGAGATTTTTTTTGGCTTGAACGATTATTCGGCCGGCCATTTTTAATTAGTGCGGCGTCGTTTTCTGGCTCACTGAACCAGAATGATAATTAATAAAAGAACTATTATCCCCCCCCCCCCCGATAACTAATCCATAGGGAAAATTATTTTTTTGGCCTGGTTGCTGAGGATTTTTTTTCTTCTTTAATTGGTCCAACTCGTCTTGTAATCTTTTGATTTCCTTTTTGTCGTCCTCATTAGTCGGAGCATCAGGTTGTTGCCGTAATTTGGCTTCTAATTCGGCAATTTTGGCTTGTAATTGTTGGATTTTTTGCTGGTCGTTTACGGGAGGATTTGGTCCATTAGGTCCGGTCGGACCTTGGGAAGTGGCAGTCAGTTTAATTATGCTGGCAAACTTGGACTCCAAAAATAGAACCAGACTTTTACTGCCGGGATTCATGTGTATTTCCGGCTTGGTTTTATCAATAAGGTTATTAAACCCATCCACATTTAATCAAACTTTCTCTTTCTCAAAATTCAACTCAAAATCTTGGTTTTTGCTATCCCACAGAGCATCGTAAATGGGCTGGTCGGCATTATCTTTAAAAACAAAAACCAATTTCTCAAAAGGAGCGTCTTGGATGGGACCGTGAACTATGCCTTTTAAGGAACCCGCCAAAGTCTCCATATGAAAACTAGTTTGGATTTCTAATTCTAGCCCCGTGGTTCCGGGTGCTAGTTCACTGGCGGAAATTTGTCTAATATTTTTTTTGGTAAAAGGAATTTTAATCTCTGTCATATTATTATAATTTTAAACTCCTAACCCAACCGCCTTAATTTTCGCTTGTAATTATTCAATAATTTTAGTTACTACTCCTTTGCCGATTGTTCTCCCTCCTTCCCGAATTGAGAAAGCACTATTAACTTCAATAGCAACTGGATGAATAAGGTGAACTTTCAGACTAAGGTCATCGCCAGGTTTGACAACTTTTTTATCTTCTGGCAATTTGATAGTGCCAGAAATGTCCGAAGTGTAGAAATAGAATTGTGGACTGTAATCAGCCTCAAAGGGGGTATGGCGACCTCCTTCATCTTTGGTTAGAATGTAAACTTGGGCTTCGAATTTTTTATGAGCATTAATACTACCTGGTTTGGCTAAGGCAGCTCCGCGGGGTGCTTGTTCTCGGGTAGTGCCTTGCAAGAGAACTCCAATGTTAAAATTTGGCTTGGCCTCTTTTAACTCCTTATGAAACATTTCGGCACTGGTGGCTTTCGTTTTAAATTTTTCGGCATTTATTCCCACAATTTCCACTTCTTCGCCCGGTTTAAGTGTTCCTCTTTCCACTTTACCGGTGGCTACTGTTCCACGACCAGTAATCGACATATTGTCCTCGATATACATCAAGAACGGCTTGCTCTCATCGCTCAGTGGTGTCGGAATATGTTTATCAACCGCATCAATTAACTCCTCAATTTTTTTCTCTTGTTCAGCATCTCCTTCTAACGCCTTTTTCGCTGAACCAAAAATAATGGGGGAATTTTTGTTAAATCCGTATTTTTCTAATAATCCTTCAACCTCCTCTTTCACTAACTCCAATATTTCCTTATCTGCCACCACGTCAACCTTATTCGCAAAAACGACTACATCTTTTACTCCTACTTGATTTGCTAAAAGCAAATGTTCCTTGGTTTGCTCTTGACCACCTTGACTGGCATCAACTACCACAATTCCGCCGTTGGCTTGGGCTGCACCAGTAATTAAGTTTTTAATATAGTCGGCGTGACCTGGACAATCAATTAAAGCATAATGTCTGGTGTCAGTTTCATACTCAACGTGAGCGGTTTTGATAGTAATTCCTCGTGCTCTTTCTTCGGGAGCCGCATCGATCTCTTCATATTTCCGAGACTTGGCCTTATTTTTCTTGGATTGAACATGGGTAATTGCTGATGTCAAAGTAGTTTTACCATGATCGACATGTCCTAAAGTCGCAATATTTACATGAGGCTTTGAACTTTCGTATACTTCTTTTTTTCCTGTTTTCGCTTCTGCCATACAATTTCAATATATTTATTATTTTAAAGGTTTAGAATGATTTTTGGGTTTTGCTGCTTTTTTTTGTTCATCAGAGTAGGCCGACCTATTTTTGAAAATTAATATTAAATCTTATCTTTTTTTTAGAGCCTTACGGCAAAATATTTTTTTTCCTGGCAGCCAGGTTTTTTAGCCCTTTTTTATATCTTTTGTTTTTCTTATCTATGTATTTTTCTAAGTTTTTTTGTCGCGACAGCATGTTTTCTAAATAAAGTTTAAGTTTTTAAAAATTAAATATGGAAACCTCAGAAAAAAAAATAATTAATTGTCTATACTCCCATTTTAAAAATACTCCTAAAAAATTAAAAGTAGTTTGTGATTGAGACGAAGTAATTCAACCTCTCGAACCCAAAGTATATTATGAATTATCCGAACGAGAAGGAGCCTATTATGATGCTCCCTGGTGAAAGCCAAACGGAACCGCATTTGAGGAATTTTTTCGGGATTTCTGACCCAACGCTCCAATTTATTTTTCTGATTATGGCAGTCATTCCCTTTATACCGAAAAAAGTATGGTGAAAAGTTGCTTACCAACCAAAACCGAGAAAGGGATTAGTTATGGTCTTGGTCCAAGAAGCATTAAAGATAAAGTTGATAAAATAAAAAATGAGCCCGATTTTTACGAGAATTCTCCCTTTCTTACTCTGGCTAAGGAATTATTAAAATTAGTTAAAGAAAATAAAGTCGAAGTAATTTTTTTGTCTGCTTATGACAAAAGAGTTTTTCCGGACGGCGACCCCCGCAAAAAAAAAATATTCAAGGAAACTTTTGGCAGATTTTCTAATTGCTCATTGAATTTACTGGGATTTGATAGCGAGGGTCAAGGGCAAACCAAGGGAGAATGAATTGAAAAAAATGTGCCTGACTGTGAAGTGGTAATAGATGATAATCCCAAAATTCTCCGTAACATACTAAAAAACCACGACAAAATAATTGTCGTTGCCCCTTTTTATCTCACTATTAAACACCACGAAAAAGTATTATTAATTAAAACTTCTATTAGTAATTTAACCAAACAGGATTTTCAGCCTGATTAAGGCAATCATAAAAATTTTCGTCTTTTTCAACTTGTTAATGGTTCGGTTTTTCCCCAATCCCTAATTTTTCAATCACTTTGGCGGCGGCTTGCTGTTCGGCCTCCTTTTTGCTCCGACCCTGACCACTTTCCCGAAAAGTTCCCTGTTCGTCGCTGACCTCCATAATAAATAATTGCTGATGTCCAATTCTCAATGCTCTTTTCAAACGGTAGACAACTCTATTTTTTCGGGCCTGACAATATTCTTGTAATTGACTCTTGTGGTCCCAAATCATATTTTCTTTGCCAACAACCCAAGTAAAAATAGTTAAATTGAGGAAACGCTGGACGGTTTTGCCTCCTTTTTCCAAATATAGGGCCGCTGTAAAAGATTCAAAAACGTCCGCCAATATACTCTCCTTATCGGCTCCCTGGTTTTTTCTCTCTCCCGTTCCCAGTTGCAAATATTCCCCAAGACCGATTTCTCGGCTCAAATGAGCCAAAGTGCTCTCTTGAACCATCAATTGTTTCAATTTACTCATTTGTCCTTCCACATAATTAGGAAATTGGTGGTAAACGAAAAAACTAACGTAAAAATTTAGCACACTATCCCCTAAAAATTCCAAAGTCTCGTAAGAAGAAAGTGGTTGACCGTTATCTTCTCAACCCGGCTCAGCGTAATTCCTTCTCATTAACTTTAACTCATTAAGGTAAGAAGTATGGCGAAAAGCCTGTTGAAAAAGGTCCGTATCTTTGATACTCTCAATTATTTTTCTTATCTTTGTATAATTGAAAATATTCGCATTTACTTTTCTGATTTTTTTTAATTGGTAAATCATTATTTATTTTTGTGGTTTCTCTTCTTTGTTCCAACCATGTTTTTGGAGAAAATCATTGACGGATTTTCTTTCTTCGGGAGTCATGCCGTCTTTTTCTTCTCCTCGCCTATAATCAGGATCCGCCTCATCCTTCACTGGCATTAAAAAAAATTTACTTAACAGATATTTAGTGGCATAGGTTTCACTAGAGCCTTTGGCTTTGGCTAAATCCACATTGCTGCCCACTGCTCAAAAGTTAAATAATAAGCGTTGCTCGGGATTTTCGGCATCCACTATCTCTAATTTTTTTAGATATTTAATAAAATGTTCTTTGCCTTCTTTTTCGTGAATTAAGGGCTGGCTGGTATCATCACTTAATAAAAGGGTTAATTTATATTTTTCTAAGAGTGGTCTCAGTAATTTAAGAACCTGTAATTCATTGAAAAATTTATATTTTTGAAATTTGTTTTCCTCGGTGCGGATGAGTTCTTTGATTTCGGATTGGATGAGTTGGAGTTTAGTATAAACATTTAATTTTCCCATAATTATACTATTTTTAATATTAATAATTAGAATTTTTTGCTAATTAATTTTCGATAGCGTTCATGATTAATTATTTTTTTCTTTTGAGAACAAAATATCAATAAATTAAAGTTGAAATAAGCGAAGGAACAATCAACATAACTGCTAAAAAAATCACCAAAATAACCGCCCTTTTTAGAAATATTATAAAAATTGACAATTGCACAACTAATAATATATCAAACAAATAAAGAAATCAAAAAGGAGAGAAGTGAGAAGAAAATTCAGAAAGCCATTAAAGAATCCAACGCTTTAATGGTTAGTAACTCACTCATAATATGATTTATAATTTTTTTAATTCCTCAATAATCTTGTGGTCTACTTCACAGATTTTTCGTTGGTAGCGAGGAAGTTTATAATAGCAATCAAAAACATTTCGAACAAGAGTAAACCATCAGAAAAATAAGCCAATCGCCATAAGTATAATTCAAATTATATTGTATCAATCCCAACCTTTTTTGTCGGGAAAAATAGTGCCTCTTTGGTTAAACAAAAAAAGATAGAAAGCAAGATAGAAAATTCAGAAAGCGTTTCGCTGATAATTCCACAGTATTCGGTTATACAAATTATCTCTTTTTCGCTCTCAAAAATGCTTTCTTTGAAATAATTCTGCTAATTTTGCGTTCATTTTAACAACTAACCACTTTTTTTAGCCTTTTTCAATCGCTGTTATTTAATAAAGAACTCTTTCGTAAATGCCTTTTTTGCTTGGTGGATTTACTATAAGCCAGATGGGAAGTATAAGCCCGTCAATGTTTTAATTTGCCTTTGGAGAGAGTTTTGAAACGTTTAGTAATAGAACCTTTGGAATGAAGTTTGACAGTTGACATATATATTGATTATTTATTATTTAGTTTAGTATTAAAATGAATTATATTTATAATGACAGTAGAAAACAAAAATACTTACCCTCAACCCAACCACCAAGAAAAAGAAAATAATGACAATAGTTCGGAAGAAAAAAGCCACTGGGAAAAATATCATCTCTATTACCTGATTTTCGGCAGTTTTTTTTTCACCACCTTACTCATTTTAATTAGTAATTGAAATACTAATAATAAAATCAGAAGCGTTACTTGACAACGATACAATTATTCGCCCCCTGTAAGTTCAGACAGCAGTAATAATGAAATTGACGAAATCCTTAACACAATTAACCAAAAAGGCGGAAAACTCAGTGGTGGCGTTCAGGCTAGCAGATTTGAAAAACCGGACCCAAACCGGCAAAATGAAGATTGAGTGGAGAAAACGATTATTCAACAAGGTGTCAAAAAAAGAGTGAAAAATTGGCTTAATGGCTTCAAATTTCTGTCTCAATATCAAACCAAAAAAGGGCTAGAATTGGATAATCATGTTTTATTTTGCGGTCCACCGGGTTCGGGAAAAAGTTTCACCATTGAGGAATTTTGTCATAATGAGACATCTTATTTTGTCAAGGCCCATTTTGAATCCCAAATCTGGGTTGGTTCCAGTATCGAAAAGCAGCAGCATGTTTTCAACAGTGCCAAAGAATTGGTAAAAGAAAATGCCAAAAAAGGAGAAACCAAGCCGGTAGCAATCGTTATTGAGGAAATTGACTCTGTGGGAACAAAGGACCTGTCTGGTCATAATACTTCCAGCAAAAGTGAAGTGGATGGTCTGTTGAAAATCTTTGACGAAATAAATGAAAAAAAATTAAATATTGTCGTAGTTGCTACTACCAATAATCCAGAAGTGTTAAATGACGCTCTCGTGCGGCCAGGTCGGCTGGGCCGTCGCATTTATGTTAATTACCCGACTGGCGAGGAATTAAGAAAATTGACTGATTACCTCCAAGAAGTAATGGAAAAAAGTTGAAAAACTCACCTCAACGAGGATTTGTGAAAAGAAAAAGAAAAAGAAAAAGAAAAAGTTGTCGAATGACCGAAAGATTACTGGGATAATGTTTACCAGTCAATTCAAAAAAATGCTGCTCGTTTTCAAAAGAAACAAATGGGTCTCAATTTCCGTGATTTACAAAAAGCGGTTACTGGTTCGTTAGAGTCGGGAGTAGCAGAAAATAATCCTAAAATTATTCCGGCGGCTTCGGTCTTTCATGAGGAATTAAAGGACGTTCTCCAAACTCGGGTGAACGACCGCAACAATAATTTACGCCGACAAAGTCATCTTCCTCCAAATTATGACGACACCAATGAAGAGGAGCGCGAGCCAAGTCCAAACTACTAGATTTTAATTCATGGAAAAAGAAAAAACGGATAAATATAGCAGATTATTAAATGAGGGCGGGTTGTTTTTTTATGGAGCCACCAAAGGGAGTTTCATTTTGCCCCCGCACGGCTACGCTCTGTGAAAAAATATTCAGAGTGTCCTTGACAAAAAATTTGCGTCCCGTGGCGTTCAAAATGTCCTTTTACCGACCCTTATTCCATTGGATTTACTAGAAAAAGAGAAAGAACATGTGGCTGGGTTTAGCCCCGAATGCTTTTATGTAGAAAGAATTGGAGCAAAAAAAATAGAAACCCCACTAGTTTTACGACCCACCAGTGAAATAGTGTTTTACGATTGATATCGGCAAGTCCTCCACAGTTATCGGCAATTGCCTCTCTTGTATAATCAATGATGTTCGGTCTTTCGTGCCGAAAAAAATACTACTCCTTTTTTTCGAAACACGGAATTTTTATGACAAGAAGGGCATACACTTCATGCCAACACCCAAGAGGCTCGTCAATTTACCTTAAATATTTTGTCCGATTATCAAGATTACGCCGAAAACATACTTTGTTTAGGAGTAATAGTCGGACAAAAAACGGTCGGGGAAAAATTCGCTGGAGCGTTGGAAACCTACACGGTGGAATGTTTATTGCCAGACGGTCAATGCTTACAATTAGCCACCAGTCATTATTTTGGGGATAATTTTTGCCGTTTAATGGAGGTCAAGTTTCAAAACAAAGACAACAAAACAGAGCATCCTTTTTCTACTTCTTGGGGCACTTCTACTCGGGCTATTGGCGCTCTAGTTAAAACTCATGCAGATAATTGAGGTTTAATTTTGCCTTTTGAAATTGCTCCCGTTCAAATTGCGTTTATTCTTATCGGGGAAAGCCCAGAATTAATTAATTACTATCAAGAGATTTATGGTTTATTAAGTCGTCATTATCGTTGTCAGTTGTATAATAAAAACGAACAAGTTAATGCAAATGTGCTCCAAGCCGACCAAGAGGGCTGTCCTTTCAAGATGATTATTGGCAAACAGGAATTAGAACATCAAGAAATTACTTTGGTAAGAAGGGACAATGTGGAAAGAAAAATTACTATCGAATTGGAAGAGAATGAGTTGGAAAAAAAATATATTGCGGCCACTGAAAAATACTGGAAGGAAATGAGCGAGATTAGCCAAGAAAACAAAAAAGAGTTAGAAAAAGCAAAAATGGCTAATTCATTTAGGCAAGGTCAGAGGATTGGAAAAATTTTTGGGATTATCAACCGAGAAGCCCAAGAATTACAAAAAAATCTCTATCAAAAAAGTGTGGCGTTTCGCAACAAGCACATTTTTTCAGTCGCTAATTTGGCCGAATTAGAGAAAAAAAAAAAAGATGGAAGTAAGGGCTTATTTTTGGTTCCTTTTTGTAATAATTTAGATTGTGAATTGAAAATTAAGGAAAAGGTGCCCTCTTATAGTATCCGTTGTATTGCGGGAGAGGAGAGAATAATTGCACCGCAAAAATGTCTTTTTTGCCAGTCGGCAGCCCAAAATAGAGTTTATTTAGGAAGGTCTTATTAAAAAATTATTTTTTTTATCTGGTTTTTCTTATTTTTTTGTTGAGAATAACTCAATTAAGGTTCTTATCATGACTCCCGTTCCGCGTTTGCTTTTAGATTTTCAGGCCGTTCCGGCAATGTCGCAATGAATAAAGGGCATTTTTTCTACAAATTCTTGTAAAAAAGCAGCTCCGTTGGAAGCCCCCATGTAGCGGCTGCTGCTAATATTGCTGATGTCAGCAATGGTAGTGTTTTCTTTTAAGAATTTGGTATTTTCTAGAGTGATTGGTAATTCTCAGTATCTTTCATGTGTTTTGGCAAATGCTTGTCTCAGTTCACGATAAAATTTTCGGTTATTAGTCAAGACACCGGTCAAATTTTCCCCTAATGCTGCCACTACGGCCCCAGTAAGGGTAGCGACTGTGATAATTTTATTGGCCTTTTCTTTTTGAATGGCATAAGTAATTCCGTCAGCCAGAACCAAACGCCCCTCGGCGTCCGTATTATTAATTTCCACCGTTTTTCCGCTCATTGAGGTTATAACCGACTCGGTGAGGGTGGCGTGGCCTCCAATCGCATTTTCGGTCAAGCAAGCCACCGCTATCACATTTATTTTCGGCTTATTTTGAGCCAAAGCCAGAAAAGAAGCACATACAACGGCGGCTCCGGACATGTCAAATTTCATACATTGCAAATATTGTGAAAGTTTTAAATTATAACCACCACTATCAAAAGTTATTCCTTTTCCTACCAATCCTAGAACATTTTTGTTTTTTTTATCGCCAAAATAGCGTAAAATTACTACCTGTGGTTCGTGATGACTGCCAGCATTAACGGCCAATAATAAACCCATTTTATTTTTGATGATTTGCTTTTTTTCTAGTATCTCTACTTCAATATTTTTAAGTTTGCTGAATTTTTCCTTAATCTGGTTGGCAAATTCCTTAGCGTGTAATTTGTTCGGCGGAGCGTCTTGCAAATCGCGGGCAAAATTGACAGCCGTTAATTTTATTTGTGTTTTAGTCAATATTTCAGCGGCTTTTTTATTTTTCGTTATCAAATAATAATCACCGCTTTTTTTTGGCTCTATCTTTTCCTTGAAATTTATTGGCTGGTAAGTCCCAAACAATATCCCCTCGCTAATGGCCTGAATTACTTCTTCCTCGGACAAATTTGGGGAAGTAAAGGACTGAATATCAATGTTTCAATTTCTTTCACTATTGCTGGAAAAATTAACCAAAAAATTGTAAAGGTTGGAAAAATTATAATCGTTATTTTCTTTTTCAACATATAAATAGAGCACTTTTTCCTCAGAAATTAGAGTGGTTTTTCAATTCTTTTTTTCAATTAAAGGATGAGTTTTGCTCTTGCTAGTAATGGCACGGAGAGTCAGTAATTTAGGCTGAGAAGATTTTTGAACGAATAATTTAGTCATAACAATTGGTAAGTATTATTATATCTTTATTTTTTTTTAATTTTCTTGTTTCTCTCTCTCTTTTTTTTTTTTTATTATCACTATTGTTCCAATTAATATCACTGACAAGCAAATTACCACCGGGAGAATCCAGAAAGGAAATTCATCTTTATTCTGGGTTGGCTGGTTGTTATTTTGAGAGGTTTGCTTGAGGCTTTTTAAACTTTCAATAACTCCATCTATTCGCTCGTTAAGAGTCTTATAAGCAGTAGATTGCTTATTTTTCTCTGCAAGTAATTCATCGGAAATTGATTGATTAAATTGTCCTTTTTCGATTAAAATCTCCGCAGAGATTAGGGTTTTGAGTAATTTTAAAGCCGCTTGTTTTTCATCCTCAGTAAGTTGCTGATTATTCTCTATTTGTTGCTTGGCTGGGTCATTATTAAATCTATTTTCAACCTCATCCTCGGAGGGCGGAGGAGCATCATTTTTGTCTTTGCCAGGTGTGGGTGTGGTTGGACCATTTCCATTGTTAGGAATATCACCTGGTCCGCCCGGAGTGCCAGGAGAGCCGGGATTACCAGGACCGGGGCCACTTCCTCCTTGTTTAGCCTGCCGTTTATTTTTAATGTCGGCTAATATTCGGTCTTTAATTGCCGTAATAGTAGACAAATCATTCGCCTTTTGAATATTGTGACGTCAATTTTGGTTGGCGGTTTCTAATTCGTTATTATTGATGGTGGGGTTTTGGTTGAGGGCATTGTCAATGTCCGAAATGGCAGCATTTTTTTCAGTTAGCAAGGGGTCAGAAGTCTGCGGCTCCTCTTTTCCTTCGAAAGTAACATTACTATGTTTAAAATCAGGGTTTAATTCTAATTCCTTATAAGTTTTGAGAGAAACAAAATAATCAGTTTTGACCTTAAATTCTTTATCACCTTTTTTGAAATTATAATCTAAAATTAAATTAACCTTATCTAATCACGACGTCTCGCCTTTGAAAATGATTTTTTTCAGCGGGGATTTTTTTGTGTCAGAATTCGCCAATTTCCAATCTATTGGATCAATTTCCACTTCAATAGTCTTTTCGTTTTTTTTGTATTGAAAATTATTGACCGTAAAGCGAATTTCTTGGTTTTTGGAGTTTCAAGTAACAGAAGAACCTCACCAAAGTTGTAAATCAGAATATTCAAATCTGGCTATCGTGCCGTAATCATGAGCGGCAGGAAGACCAAAAAAAGAAGGGGGCATTTTTTTCGCAATGGTATTCGCTTGGGCTAAAGAAAAATACGGTTTTCCAGTTTCAGAAAATAAATCGTTAATCTTCAAAAGACCACTCAAATTATTAATTTTTTCTTTCTCACTTTTAGGAAAAACAAACACTAATGTGTTAGCAATCAATCCGCCCATATCTAACCCTTCCGTAAGTTTACATAAAAAGAAAACGCTATCTTTTCCGGTGTCTGTTTCTATTGCTTGAAGTGTCTTTCAAGACAAAAATTTGATATTAACAGGGTTAGTGTTGAGTGTTCCGAATACCATATTGTTAATTTTACGGAAAAAACTTTATTGATAAGTAATATCTCCCAACCTTCTGCTTAATTGTCGAATTCCTTGCCGGAATGAATTAATGGTTTCTCAAAAAAAGGCTTCTTGGGGTTCTTGGGGCAGAAAATAACTAACATTAACCAAAGTACGGATTTTATTCAAAGATTCCAAATATTCCGATCAAAAATTATCAATTTCTTTCACCAAACGGGCTTTTAAATATTCTTGTTCGATAGGGACCATTTTCCCTGGTTTTTTCTGCCCTCGTTTTTTAACTATTTTGGTTAGATCCAGAGCACTTAATAATTTATCACGGTAATTATAAATGAATTGTCTTTGCCGATTAATAAGTAAGTCGTAATTAAGGTGATATTGGCGGTTAGAAGCATGCGAATTCCGTAAAGTTTCTTGGGGTTCAGAAATGAGATAATTGAATACTTTTCCACTTAACGGGCGGTGAAAAAGTTCTTTTAATTGTTTTTGGTTGAAAAGTTTACCTACTTGTTCTTTAACCCCAAAATTTTTTAACATTTCATCCTCCAAAGAGACAAAGAATTGACTCTCGCCAGGGTCCCCTTGACGACCGGCCCGGCCCCGCAACTGGTTATCAGCCCGGCGAGTAGTATTTCGTTCTATTCCAAGCACACCTAATCCTTTCATGAATTTATCAATTATCTCTCTAACCTTTTTCGTATATTTTTTGCCTCTCAATTCTCTCAAAAATTCATTAATTTTTTTCCTAATCTTTTTGGCGTCTTCTTTATGCTCTGAACATCATTTCAAAAATTCATTAATTTTTTCTTTAACTTGTTTGGCCTCGTTGGTATTAGCATTATCAAGTTTATCAGCCACAAATTTCAAGTTAAATAGGAGAAATTCCAGATCGAGGATGATATCAGTCCCCCGTCCGGCCATATTAGTGGAAATGGTAATGGTGCCAATTTGCCCGGCTTTGGCAATTATTTCGGCTTCTTGTTTATGATTGACTGCGTTAAGTAAATTATGAGGAATATTTTCTTTTTTCAATAGCGAGGATAAGTGCTCGGATACTTCCACGCTTGGAGAACCGATCAAAATTGGTTGACGAAAAGTTTTCTGATTCTTTTTGATTAATTTTATGATATAGTCATATTTACTCTTTTTGTCCCAGAAAATTAAATCATTATAATCTTTGCGAATTAATTTTCGATAAGGTAGGATAGCAATCACTTCCATGCCATAAACTTGGCGAAATTCCTCGGCTTCGCTGGCAGCAGTTCCGGTCATGCCGGACAATTTATCAAAGAGGCGAAAAAAATTCTGGTAGGTGATAGTCGCAATGGTTTTGCTTTTGATGCTGACCGGTAAATTCTCTTTGCTTTCAATGGCTTGGTGAATACCGGAACCGTAAACCCGATTTGGCACCAAACGACCAGTCAAAGCATCAATCAACACCAATTTTTCTTCCTCTCTATCAACAATATATTCGATACCTTTGTGATAAAAGTGCTTGGCCTTTAAGGCATTATGGAGCAAAAAGTTATAGCGGTGATTTTTAAAAGCAAATAAATTATCTAATTGTCAAAACTTCTCGCATTTTTTAATTCCGGGTTGGGTCAGTCAAATAGCGTTTTCTTTTTGGTCGACCTTGTAATCTTTTTTTTCCACCAATGAATTGGCTAATTTGGTGGCTAATTGATATTCGGCTGGATTAATGACATTTTCTCCTTGAACCCGCTGAGAAATAATGAGAGGATTAGTGCATTCATCAATGAAAAGCGAATCAATTTCATCGGCGATTGCATAATAATAATCTTGCTTTTTTTTGGCTTCAATATTAGTTACTAAATTATTTCGTAAGTAGTCAAATCCTAATTCGCTGCCGGTAGTGTAAATGACCGTGCAATCATTATATAGTCGTTTTTTCTCGTCTGTTGAAATATTAGTCAAATTAACCCCCGAACTGATTTGAAAAAAATCCAGGATGGGTTGAGCGAGATTTCAATCCCGTTGAGCCAAATATTCATTGACTGTAATGACAAAAACCGTTCGCCCCAGGAGAGCATTGAGACAAATCGGCAAAAAGGCGGTGAGAGTTTTTCCTTCCCCCGTATTCATTTGGGCGATATTGCCATAATGAAGCACTATTCCGCCAAATATTTGGGTAGGGAATAACAAAAGCCCTATTTTTCGCTTAATAATTTCCCGCACCAGAGCAAAGACCGGAACCAGATATTTATCCAGGGCCTTTTCACGGTCTTTTTGAGGTGTCCGACGAATTTTTTGGCGATAATAAGCAAATTTTTTCTGTAATTGTTCGTCAGTCAACAATTTAGTTTTTTTTCGCAAGGCGATTATTTTATCACGCAGAGCCGAAAATTTTTTTAAAGTATTTTTTTTTCACAGATAATAGAACATGCTATGATATATGTATTTTTTAAAAGATGTTTTGTCAGTGATGAGTAGGAAGATGAGGATAATATAAAATTGTATTTCTAAAACCTAAAGTAAAAATATAGGCGGCACTCTATATTGTTGGTTGAATATTTGCAAAAGGACGAGAATGATTGTCTAGAAATCGCTGACGAAAAAGAAGACTAAAAAGAGGTGTAGCAGAAAAAAATTTAGAATATCAAAAGCAAAGGCAAGAGGTTCAAGAATTTATTGAGGTAGCGAAAAATAATTGAAAGAAGGATATAATAATCATAGAATAAATTCGAGCGAACAAAAAAAATATTAATGTCCTACTCTGCCGCTGAAAAAAGAAAAATTATTCTGTCTAATTATAGCCAACCCAGCCACCAAATAGAATTAGAAAAATTAAAAAAAAAGAGCGAAGAATGACAAATCCCTTTTGCTACTTTTCGTAGCCTAGAACAAGGTTGTGGTGATATTATTCACTTACTAATAAAAAAAAAAGATAATAATTTACAAAAATGCTTATTTTCAGGTCAACAGTCCTGTCTGATTACTGTGGCAGTGGCTAATATTCTCTGCTCTTGTTTAGAAAAAAAAGATCTAAATTTTGCCCGTGAATTATTAACTAATTGTCAAGCCATGATTGAAAAAAAAGTTTACAATTTAGATAACTGTCCCGATTTGCAAGTATTTAGTGATATATCACAATTTCCCCACCGAGTAGAATGTCTAAAATTAGTAGTGCGAGGACTAGATAAATTGATAAATTAATCATGGAAGGAATTTGGATACCCATTATCATTTATTTTCTGATGATTATTGGAGGGGGATTTTGGTTGGTTTTTCGTTTTAATCGTTCGGACTTTGGCGGAGCATTAATTAGTTTCTTTTTGGCTATTTTTACTATTGTTTCCTCGTTCATAATTTACATTTTTTTACGGGATACTACTTTTGGTAAAATGATGCGAAGTGGATGGAGAGGAGAAAGAAATTTAATAACGATTAGTTTTTTGCTGGCTACTTTTTTGGTTGCCTTGACTTCTTGGTTGCTCGTTTGCTCTCTTGCTTCTTTTTTTAAATGAAAAAAACGTCGCAGGAAAAGAAAAATTAAAAAAAGATAAATTGTTCGTTAATTCAATTCATTTATTTTTTTTTCTACTTCATAATCAATCAACTTTCGGCATATTTCTTGTAAATATCCTTTTATAATGTAATTAAGTTTATTTCAACTTATTCCCAAACGGTGATCGGTTATCCGATTCTGGGGTCAATTATAAGTGCGAATTTTTTCAGACCTTTCCGCCGTGCCAATTGCAGAGGAACGCAAATTACCTACTTCTTTTGCCTTTTCAGCTTGTAATTTCTCTAAAATTCGTGCTTTGAGAACGGACATGGCTCTTTTGAGATTAATTCTTTGATCGCGGCCATCTTGGGAAGTTGCTGTTATTTTGGTTGGGATATGGAAAACCCGCACTGCGGAGGCGGTCTTATTAGCATGTTGCCCCCCCGGCCCACCAGAACTATAAGTCTCAATTTTTAAATCCTGGCTACGAATATTTAAAACTACATCCTGAACTTCTGGCAAAATTACGACGCTAGCAGTGGAAGTATGTATTCTTCCTTTACTTTCGGTCCGAGGAACCCTTTGAACTCGGTGAACTCCTGCTTCGTTTTTTAACCAATTAAACACATTTTCTCCTTTTATGAGAAAAGAGACAAACTTAAAATTACCTTCTTTGTCAACATCGGTTTCCACCATTTCTACTTTTCAACCCCTTTCTTTGGCAAAACCCTCATACATTTGATAAAGGTCACGGGCGAAAAGACCGGCTTCAGTGCCTCCTGTGCCGGGACGAATTTCGATAACAATATTTTGCTCGGTTCCTTCCTCGGTAATTATCTGCTCTTTAATTTTATCAATTAACTGTTCTTTTTGTTCAATTAAATTTTTAATTTCTTTCAGCAAAAAATCTCGCTCTTCTTTATTTGCTTCTTGGCTTAATTCCTGATAGTCTTTTTGTTCCTGGTCTAACCTTTCATACTCCTTTTTGCTGGCCAGCAGAAGATTTTTTTTTTTGTTGCTTATCGGAGAAAAAATTCCATTTTTTTCTAATTTTTTTAAATAACTAATAATTTTTTGGGCTAATTCTTCACTCACAGAATAGATATTTTATAATATAATTTTTTTAGGATAATTATGATTTTAATTAATAAAAACTTCTTATAGTAATAAAACGCTAGTAAATATTATGGATAAAATTGAATTGACGCAGGAGCAGAAGGATTGTGTAGAATATCCGCTTACTGAACAGATTTTAATAATTGATGCTGACCCAGGCACCGGCAAAACCGAGATTTTAAGACATCGAGTTAAGTTTATCCATCACCAAAACGAAAAAAGGAGAAAATTTATTCTAGTCGTGGCGGTCGGAAAGAATATTAGCCTATCCATAAAAAGAAAATTAAAAGAAGAAGGATTAAAAAAAATCTTTCATACTTTAAGAACAGTTATTCCTGAATTCTCGCATCCGATTCCCCAGTGTGAGGATATTGATTGCCCGAAGTGCCAAGAACACAACCAACCCCTAATCTTAACCTGCACTGTCCACTCTTTGGCTTACTGAATGGTGAGGCAGGTATTTACCAAAAAGTTTCAAGAAAAAAGAAAAATTTGAGTCTTAACCAATGCTTATAAAAAAGATTTAAGTTTGCTCTACCAGAACGATGATTTTCCCCAAGTCAAAGAAAAAATTCATTGAACTACGCAAGAAATTATTACCCGAAAACGTCGCATTTTCAGTTTTTTAATTAATCAAATTGCTAAAGAAGAATTAAAACCAGAAACCAAAAAAGAGATATGAACTATTTTTCGTGAAGAAATTAAAATTGACCGGGAGAGCGTTCCTTATTATTATTGAAGTATTACCGGATATGAGGAATTTTTAATTCGGATTAAAGATTTTTATCCGGAAAGCGAGTTAGGTTTTTACCCCGAATTAGTAGCCATTTGCCAAGAAAATCAAGCCAAAAATGTTTGGTTAAGTTTTGAGGACATGATTGAAAATGTTCTTCTTTTTCACAACCGCTTTGACACCCCTGTTAATTGACCAGTATTCGATTATATTTTGGTGGACGAATGTCAGGATTTAAAGAGGAATTTATTAAATTTCATTACGGAAATACTTAGCCGACCCACTACTAATTTTACTTTCGTGGGTGACCCTAAACAAAATATTATGGCTTTTGCCGGTGCTACCGATGACATTTTTCAATTACTAAAAGACAAGTTTCCTAATTGTGTGCAAAAAGAAATATCAATCAGTTTCCGAGTTCCCCAAGAAATCGCGGACGTAGCGAATGATTTCACCCGGAAATTTATGACGAGACGCAAGCCAAAATTAGCCACTAATAAAACTAATGGTGGCAAAAAGCCGGTGGTTTTTTTGGCTAGCTCGGAGCAAGATTATCAATTAACTGAGGAAGAAGAAAGTAAGATTGAGGAAAGACTTAAAGATATCCCCTGAGAAAAAGAGGAAAGTGAAATTAAAAAAATTCGTAAAACCCAAAAATTAAGAGTTAAATTAATCAAAGAGGAAATATGAACTAAAAAACTGCGTCGGCAAGTGGAATTTATTCTTTCGGTAATTAACAACTTAGATAAAAATTCCTCTCGCGTAATCCTCCATCGTAAAAATGAAATTGGCAATTGGCTGAAAAACTGGTTCATTGAAACTAATAACCATGACTTTGTGGTGGTCGGGGATAATCAAAACCGTCTAGTTAAGTTTGTTATTAGCAAAATACGGGATGAAATAAAAAAACGACCCTTTTCTCTCTCCTCATTTAATTCTATTGAGGATTTTCTGATCCACTTGAAAATAAATTGAAGAAATATCTACAAATTTCAACGGATAATTGAAAATTTCGACCAAGAAAGACTTTTGGACGAAGAAAGAGCAGAAACAGGCCTGACAGAAGAGGAAGTTTATGAATTTACTCGGCAGATTGATAAGCAATTAATAGAAAGAAATATTGAAAACGCTGGTAAAACCAGACTTTCTTCCATTCACAAAGCCAAAGGTTTAGAATTTGATTATGTTTTTTTAATTGCAGTTGACGAAGAAATTTTACCTAGCAAAAATCAATTAGAATGAGAAGAAGTAAATTTATTTTATACAGCCATAACCCGAACAAAAAAAGAATTATATTTAACAGCCAGCAGTTGAGAAGAATCTTCTCGGTATATCAAGTGTTTGGACCGCAATCTAATTGAATTATTACCGACCAATTTGCCCCGAGTAACCAAAACTTAGAATCCAACTCATCAACATTCAAATCCAACTCCTTCAATAGCCGAAATAATAGGCGATGAAGGCGAAAAAAAAGCATTCAAACTTTTGGCTAATAACAAAAAAATCAAGTGGGAAAAATTAGTGCGAAATTGACAAGAAATTGAAGGCTTGCAAGTAGACATTTATGGAGAAACCAAAGAAAAAGTCTATTTTATTGAAGTTAAAAATTGAAGCGAAGCCTTTTATTATTCACCCACCGAAAATTTTCACCATCAGCAAGGAATTTGGAAGCAGCAAATTATTCATCAAGAAAAAATTGCGGAGGATTTTAACTCGGCCAAACCAATCGTTTATCTAGTCAGTTTTCCCACCGGCGAGTTAGCCCATGATTTTCAGGTTTTTCTTAACCAGAAAGAAAATGTTGAATTACTAGTAGTTCACCATGATAAGGTTCATACTAAAACTTGGAAAGTGGAATATAATATTTTAAGGATAGATGAATTAATTGGGGAAAAAGAGAAAAAATAATTAATGAAAAAAGAAAATAAATTTTCCCAAACCCAGGAATATGAAAATTGAATCACTTTTTATCTCAATTATTTAAACCCTTATTTTTCCGAGGAGAATTTTTCCCTTTTTCAAAAAAAATGACAATCTTATTGAAAACTTTTTCAATTGTGAAAAGAAAAAAAATTAGAAAATGAAGAAATAAAAATAATAGTTAAAGAGTTGGTAGAGTCCAGGCAGCCTTTGTCCTCGCTAGTAAAAAAATATGAAAAAAAAACTGCTATTAACGAAAATTTGATAGAAAAAGAATTAAAAAATCTGTGAAATGACAAATTGGCTCAAATGGTTGTTACTAATCAGCAAAAAGTCCACAATTATCTTTTAGGTCAAATAAGAAAAAAATTTCCGGACTACTCACCCAAAGAAATTATTTTAACTATTTCCCACTTTCTAAAAGAAAATAGGGGGCTAAAAAATGTTTATGAATAACTTATCTATTTTTGATACTCATTGCCATTTGGCTGATAAAGAATACCAGCAACAAAGCCGGACTATCCGAGAAATAATTCAAGCCGCTGCTACAGTGGGCGTGAAATGTATTTTAAATGTGGGTTACGACAAGTCCAGCAATCAAAAAATAATAGAACAGTTAAAAGAGTTTGCTAACTTGTATGGAGCCTTGGGTTTGCACCCGAACAGCAATGAGGACTTGACAGAAGAAAATTTAAGTTGAATAGAACGGCAATTGGTTCACCAAAAAATTATCGCCATTGGAGAAATTGGTCTTGATTTTTATCGCACTTTTACGGATATTGACAAACAAAAATATTGATTTAAAAGACAATTAGAGTTAGCCAAAAAATACAATTTACCTGTGTTATTACACATCCGCGAGGCTTTTGCTGACGCTTACGAAATGGTGAAAGAAAGTGGAATAAAAAAAGGCATACTTCATTGTTTTACTGGCAATTGGGAAATAGCCGAAAAGTTCATTAATTTAGGTTTTTATGTTTCTTTTGCGGGCAACATTACTTATAAAACTGCTAAATGGCAAACGAGATGGGGTGAAGTAATAGAAAAAATTCCTCTGGAAAGAATAGTCGTAGAAACCGATGCTCCTTATTTAACACCTGAACCCTTTCGGGGACAAATTAACTACCCGCAACATATAATTCATACTTTAACCAAAATTGCTGAAATCAAAAAAATGGACATAAAAGTGGTGGCAGAGAAAATTTACTTGAATACTTTAAGGGTGTTAGGAATAAATCTGCCAAAGTAAATTACCTACTTTGACTATTCCAAATACAATTTGTTGGAACTTCTATGAACGAATGATATCCTTCTTGAATATTAATATTGACAAAATTATTGTCAAGTAAATAAATTTTTTCTAATTTGGGGCAATTAGTAATCTTTATGCTGGCTGCATGGTTGGAGAACAATCCTATTTCCTTTAAGTTTTGCAAATCAGAAATATTTAAACTAGCGAAATTTCCACTAAAAAAAGCCACTTTTTCTAAATTATTAAATCCGTTCAAATTCATACTAGCCCCGTGCAAACTTCGAAATATTACTTCTCTAACATTTTCTCTTATTCCAAGTGGGTACGTCTTGTTTATATATCGCCTAGCATCCATAATAATAATTTAATAATTTTTTTTAAAGAACAAAATTTTAATTAGATTAAAAAAAGATTATGAAAGGCGAAGTATTGCCAAAGGTCAAATATTTGTGTATTGACCCCTCCGGAACCGGCACAACAGGAATACTTTTTTTTGCTACGAATACTAAATCAAAAGCCCTATTTTCTGAATATAAAAGTAAAAAATGAGAGGAACATTTGAATTTTATTGTAGATTTAGTGAAAGAATGAAAACCCGACAACATTATTTATGAAAATACTACTTTTCTTTATGGCCGACAACACCAAGGGACTGTCGGTCTCTATAAATTGATTGGAGGCATTACGGCTTTGAAATATATTTTTGATTTTATTCAGAAAATAGATAGCGTGGCGGTTAATCAAGTAAAACCCTTTAAAGCCAAACTTTTTCGCGGTCAAGAACAGATTGAAAACTTAACTTACCAAAATGGTCGGGGTTGAAAATACCGGCAAAAAAAAATTAGTCTGCATCAATTAGATGCTCTGGTAGTTTATCATTTATGGAGCGGTGGCAGTTTAGAAAGCCAAAAAAGTCTCAAAAAAAAAATAGTCAAGTTAAGGGACAAAAAAAGATTAGGTATTAGACAAAAGGAACAATTGCAAAAATTAGAGGGTTTTTTGAAAAAAAAAAAAAAATTATGCTAATTGTATCCACCCAAAAAGCGCATAAAAAAAAGAAGGACAACAAAAGACGAGATAAACGCAAAAATTCCGTAAATAAGAGCATTAAGTCCTTTCGGGTCACGCAGAAAATTAAAATAATAAAAAAGAGCCATTAACGAGAAATAGAGAAAAATCATGACTGACAAAGTGAAAAAGAAGAAAAAAAGCCTTTTTTTGTATTTTTTAGGCAAAAATCAAGTCAGTGGAAAGTAAAAATAAGGGGATAACAGTATTATTCAAACAACGGGTATTATTCTACTACTCCTGAGGAGTTGCTGCTTTTATTTTCTCAATCACTAAAAATCTTTTAGTAGCCGAATAGGGACGGCTACTTTTAATTATCACTTTATCCCCTAATTGTAATTCATGGTTTTCATTATGGGCTTGGATTTTTTTTTTACTTTTGATCGGTTTATGATATTTAGGGTGCAATTTATTAGATACTAATTCCACTGTGGCCGTTTTGGCATTTTTGAGACCGATTACCGTCCCTGTAAATACTTGATTCATATAATTATTTTATGTCAAAATTACAAACTATCTTATTTAACTTTTTGAGAGAATAGCAGCGATTAACAATTTTGAAATTCGGCTTTCTTATTAATAAAATGATATTATTATAAGGAATGCATAATTTATCAACAGCAGAACCGAAAGTTCGTTTGGGTTTAGAAGTTCATATTACAGTTAATAGCCAAAAAAAAATCTTTAACTGAGAAAATACTTACCAAGGAGATATCTCTCCCAACAGCCAAGTTGGACCTTGAGAATTGGGATATTTAGGGGTTTTACCTATAATTAATCCCGAAGTTGTTCTTTTAGGGCTAAAATTGGCTGCGGCTTTGAGTATGAAAATTAGTCCTTTAGTTCTCTTTGACCGCAAAATATATAATTATTTTGATTTACCCAAGGGCTATCAGATTACGCAACAAGAAACCCCCTTTGCTACCGCAGGCCATTTACCAATTATCCAAAAAAATGAGATTCAAAAAATATCTATAAAATCACTGCAATTAGAAGAAGATACCGCCAAAAGCACTTATTCAAAAGAGGAAATTAAGTTAGATTTTAATCGGGCCGGTAATCCTTTAATCGAATTAGTTACTGAGCCAGTTTTTCACCAAGTAGAAACCGTTTTAGTATTTATCAAGCAATTACAAAATCTTTTGCGTTACTTGGGGGTTTCGGAAGCCAAAATGGAAAGGGGTCAATTGAGAGTAGATTTAAATTATTCTCTGGAATTGGGAAATAATTATTCTACCCCGCGTTATGAAATTAAAAATCTAAATTCATTAGCGAATATTGAAAAAGCCTTAAAATACGAAATTAACAAGCACCAAGCATTATTTTCGCAAGGGCAAAAACCCCCAACCAGTCAAACACTCGGATTTGACGAGGCTCAACAAATTACTATTGCCCACCGAGAAAAAACCGATTACTACTATTTGCCAGAAGTAAATATCCCCCCTATTAAAATATCCCCCAATGAAATCAAAAAAATCGTTCAAAATAAACCTCTTTTACCCTGAATAAAATGAGAAAAATTAATTGAAAGTGGAGCCAGCCCAACCAAAATAAACCCGATTATGGAAAAACCAACCCTATTAAAAACCATTATTTTTCTAGAGAAAAAAGGCAAATTACAAAGGTAAATTAATAATGTCTAATTATTTATATTATTACAATAGTCAGATAAAATTTGCGTTTTTCACTAGTCAATTTTGTAAAATATATTTAAGAGCAGGTTACTCTCTTGTCTCTTGAAATAACATAATATTTAAAAATAAATATTTACACTTATGAATTACAACAGCAAAAAAGATTTGTATCAATGCCAGTCAGCAGGAAATTAACAGTCTAGTTTTAAAAACCAGTCCCAAAGATAATCCGGAAATCGGCAAAGCCTTAATGGTTTTATCTGACCCGCAAAAAAAGGGAGAATACGACAGTTATGGCTGAAAAGAGGAATGAGAAAGAGATTGACAAACAGAGAGCGAGTTTCGGAATTCTATTTTTGAGGCAATTCAAAATTATAAGCATAATTACAACAATACAGTAGAATACACTCCAGACGGACACCGAGTTCGGGTGCTTATCCCTTTGTATTTAGACCCCGAAGATTATAATTTATGGTCTCCCTATGAAAAAGATAGTGGAGTGAGTTGGGTAAAAAAAATATGAGGAACATACGGCCCAAATTGAAAACGAGAGTTAGAGGATTTTAAAAATAAAATGTTGGCGGCTCTGGATAAAGCCTGGGAGAAAAATAAGAAAACTCCGTTGCTTGACATTTGAGAAGCGGTAGAAGAGGGGAAGTGTGCCGAATGTGGTCAACCGGCTAAATTACGCTGAAAAGACAGAAATAAAATTGGTGGTGATAAGATATATTGTTCTCGTGATTGTGCCATTGATGGTATGAAAATTAAATATGAACTTCCAAAAGAGTTTGAGGAATTATATATGGACCGAGAAATCCCCAAAACACCTCCTTATTCTAATCCCAACACCCCATATAAAAGGGACGGCATTCCAAACAACAACCGAAGTCCTGAAATGCTTTCGTCAGATCGAATTAAACGATTAGAAAAAGATATCGAAAATTACAAAGCAAAAAAGCAAGAGGTTCCAGAACCAGATAAGTCCGGAGTTCAAGATTTAATTAACGAATTAGAAAAGCAATTAAAATTAGAAAAAATGAAAGCCTTTTTCGCCCAAAGAGGTGAGACAGAGACAATCATCAAAAAGAGCCTAATTACCGGTCAAACTACTACGGTCAAAAAGTCTAATCCTCTTTCCGAACTGCTAGCCTGAATGAAAAAGGAGGGCATTGTGGGTATCCGTCTGAACGCAAGCGGCAATTTAGTGGTAGAATATGGCGGAACTAACCAAGTAGTAGCGGACAATAATTTAACTGACGAACAAAAAGAAGTCAAGGAATTTTTGCAGCAAAGCGGTCAAACCCATTTTGATAAAAATGAATTAGAGGAAGCTGCTAACCAAATCAATCGGGAGACGAACGTCCAGCCCAAAAATGATAATGGTTGAGTAGCACCTGTAATAATTCTCATGGGGCTTGTAATTGTATTCTTAATCGGAATTATTTTCTACAAGAATAAGAAAAAAAAATATTAGTGTCAGCCAAGGATGTTACGTAAATTTTGCTTTTGGCTAAACAAAATTTAAAAGAGTATAAGAAATTAGGGGTGATAGTCTGAATGAGATTATAATAATATTAGTCGCTAAAAAATAACTTATACTTTTTTAACAAAAGCGGCAAATAATTTTGCATAAAGTAATACCATTTTCGTTTTTCTCTCTTTATTTTCAATAACCAATAAATTTAGAAAAAAACTTGATTGATGGAATTGATTATTGATTAGTTATTTAATTTATTTTTTATTCTTCATCATTTGGCAATATAAAAAAAATATGATAGTTTTATGACCTTCGTCTTTCGTTTTTTTTGCTTTTTCTTTTGATAGTTTTATTTGTTAGCCGACAAGCGAAAAATTTTATATTCTTCTATTGTATCATTCCACCACCAATGAAGTATCAATTTCCTGGTTTATTTCTTCGGGTTGAGGAAGACGCAAATAATTAATAGTAAATTTTTGTTTGTCAAAATTTAGATAGGAAGGGAATTTAATATTCTGTTCTAAATTATTTTTAACCAGTTTATTTTCAATCATTTTTTCTTTTTTTAAACTAATAACTTGACCTGGCTCTACTTTGAAAGAAGGTATATTGACCGTTTTTCCATCCACTAAAAAATGTTTATGGTTAACCCATTGACGAGCACAACGAAGAGTGCTAACTAATCCCGAACGAAAAATTATGTTATCCAAGCGTGACTCGGAATTGATTAACAAATTAACGCCAGCATCACCCGCCTTAGATTTAACTTTTATGAACTCGTTTTTTAATTGTTTATTACGTCAACCAAAGCCATGCATGAGCCTTTGCTTGGCTTGTAATCGCAACCCATAAGGGGACAATCTTTTCTTTCTTTTTCCACCATGCATGCCAGGAGAAGTAATTCTTTTTTTGCCCCGACTAAACTCTTTTTTATTTCCTAATAGGGAAAAATGCAGGGCACGGGATTTTTTTCACAAGGGACCGAGAAATTTAGACATATATATTATAATTTTATCCAAACACCAAGTTTTTGTTTTTTAACTTTTATGATTCATGTGCTATATAAAATCTAAATAATGCAGAAAAATAGACAGTAATATTTATTATTTATGCTGCAGGTTAAAAATAAATTAAATTTATAATATAAAAAAGAAGATATGGAAAAAAAAATTAGTATTTTACAAGCTGGTTGTATTTACTTTTTCTATCGCTCCAAGATAGAAAACAGTCTTAATCAGCAAGAAGGAGTGCAGCGTTTTTTTTTCGTTTTACGACCTCAGCAACAGAATAAATATCTATTATTAATTGTGGGAAAGAAGCAATTGCCTCCCAGCAAAAAAGACAGTTATTTTCTATTTTTAGAAGCCATTAAAAATAATAAGGAAGAATTGTTGTCAGCCCTACAAGAAAAACATTATTCAACCAAAACGCGAGGTGAACGGACCTTGCCAGTTTCCCAGTGTCTCGGAGTTGGCAAATATCTATTAGTAATTCATAATAACCACACCCATTTCATTTATCAATTGACTAATCCTTCCCAGATTAAAGCAACCCAAAAGGAATTCAATCTCCAAAAGGAGGATGATTTTTTAATCAGCATTAAAAATCCGCAAGCAACTACGCCGCCAGGGGTAGGACTATCCACAAAGCAGAAAGTTAAATTTCCTCCTTCTCTCCAAGCCAAATTGGCTAATTATTCTTTTGCCCCACTTACTACCAGCGAATTTTTAGACTATGAAGGAGTAGAATTATTATTAATTGCCAAAGACAAAACCAACTTAACCGGCCGTGAAAAGGGAATAGAACATTGTCTAGAAAAAATAAACCCGGATAATTTGGTGGACGAGTTGGCTAAAATAAGTTCACCGGAATTTTTATCCTAATTTTAGCAAAAATATTCCCAACTCATAAAGAGACTATTAACTATTACTGCTTGACCCATCATCCCCTTTTTTACTAAATAATTCATTATACTTACTTCTATCAAACAGAAACATATATACTAACCAAAGCAAAACAACTATTATACACACTTTTATTATGAGTTTAAATATCTTAGACACAACATAAGAAAACAACCAAATGATAGCAATAGCCAATAAAAAAGCCACTAGATGAATAGCCGTGACTTTATCTGCGTCATTAAGCAAAAAATTTACTCCGTCTTTCGTATATTTGATAAGTAGTTTGAGATAATAACCAACGCTTTCCATATAAAAAATAAATATATATTAATACAATTTTAAGATTTTGACCGAAAATAATAATACTCAACAATTTATCAGGCAGTTAGCCGAACGCGAAGGTGTGTCGGAAGAAAAAATTAAGGAAATAATTATGGACTCCTTTCGCAAATCATATTGTAACGGGGAAAATGCTGGGACCGAGTTACACTTTGAATTTGATTCCAGGCTGTCAGTTTACCGACATTATAAAATAGTCGATAAACTCAATGACCCGGAAAAAGAAATAGCCTCTGATAACAAATTACTAAAAGAAGGAACAATAAAAGATGATAATTTTTTGCTCCCTTTGGATATTGAAAACTTGTCTCTTGCTGTCAACCAAGAAATTGAAGACCGCTTGCGAAAGGACGTTGGAGAAATCGGTTGAGAAAAACAGCAATACAAATTATATAAATCTCAAGAAGGTGAAATAATTAAAGGCAGTATTAAAAGCCTTCGAGACAAGAAACATGAAAATTATTACGCTGTTGACTTGGGAAAAGGTATCGGTCATTGGGCCAAATCTGAATGAGTGTTGCAAGAAAAACCAAGGTTAGGTCAGCGTTTTCTCCTCCTTGTCAAGGAAGTAAAAGAAAAATCCAGCGAGGACACTCCACAAATTATTTTAACCCGAGCAGATGATTTATTTATTCGCAAATTGCTCGAACAAGAAATACCCCAGTTAAAAGAAGGATTAATAGTTATTCATAGTATTTTGCGTTTGCCGGGATTGATAAGTAAAGTAATAGTAGAAAAAGGTCCAGTGGCAAAAGAGGAATCGTTGCATATTGGACCAGCCGGAACCTGTATCGGTGAAGGGGGAGAGAAGGCAAAATCGGTTTCTCGCTTAATTTATCCTGAACGCATAGATTTTGCTGATTGGGCTGCTGATAAAAAAAAATTACTTTCTAAATTAATTTCTCCTGTGCGATTAGTTAAATTAAATATCAAAAAAGAAACTGAGTGAGAAATTGTGGTGCTGAAACAAAAAGCCTCTCTTCTTCTCCAACACGAAGGAAAAATGCTCCAAAAAATTAGCGAGTTTTTGGGAATAAAGATTCATGTGAGAATAATGGAAGAAATGGATGAAGAGGAAATTTCGGAAAATAGAGGGAAAATATCACAAGAAGTCGGCAATTACAAAAATATTGATGTGCGAATAGTGGAAGAAATTGAATAATAGGCATAATGTTTTATTTTCTTGCTTCTTTTTCTTTATTAGGTAGCAAATTAATAAAACTAATGCTATTAACGAAGCCATACTGCTAAAATAATTAAAACATCCATTAATTATTATTTTAACCCATTACTTTCTGACAAATATTAACTGGCACATCACTAATTTCTCAACCTGAAGACTCAATGATAATCTTAACTTTTTGTTTTTTTTTGTCTAAATAGGTAATTCTTCCTTCCCGATTGATAAAGGTTCCTTCGGTAATTTTAACCAAATCGCCAATATTGAAATCAACTTTTTCATAATTTTCATTTATTCTTTTTACCTTTTCTTCTTTCATTTTGGCGAAGAAATTTTTAACCGCCTCTTCGGAAACCGGATCCGGCAATTTATTTTCCTTTCATTGGTGGTTCAAAAAACCAATCACCTCTGGCATTTGGCAAAGAAAAAAAATTAATTGAGGAGTCAAATCACAATAACTAAGAAGATAACCTTTTAAAATATTTTTTTTATTATTATCGCTAACAAATTTTAACTCCCGAACGTTATCACTCCAACCTTTTTTTTCCAACTCAGATTTAATTTTGGCAATTAATTTCTCTTCCCTTCCTCCACGCACCGACAAGATATATCACTGATAATTCATTTTTTTCATTTCTAATTAGACTGAAATATTGCTTCTCCCGAGCCAACCGGAATTTCTAAAATGGCAAAAACTCCCAAAATAGCAAAGGCATAGAGCAGAATAATAATGGTTATTAGGAAGCATGTTAATAAACTCTGATCGAAACTTAAAAATTTAAACAATTTATTATATCTATTAATGGGATTAGGGCGAATTTTTCTTTTCATATCATTGTCTAATTAAACTAATAATCTTTGATTATTCTATTCTTAAAATGTCCTTGTTTATTTTTGGTCTCCGACAAAATATTCATATATTAGAAGATGTTACTTTTATTTTTTTTTTATATTTTTTCGTTTTAGTAATAATCCGATTGTTAATCCAACCACTAAGGCGACGGCTATGCTTAATCCTATTTCTAACATGTAATTGTTATTCACGGGTTTATTTGTCAAATTATAAGTGCTGCTGGAATTGAGAAGATTATTTAATTCTTGCTGGTTTAAACTATTTTTGCCATTCTTTTGACAATAATTTTTAATTTTTTGTAATTCTTGGTTATCTTTTATTTGCTCGTCAGTTATAACTTGGATTATTGAACAATTGTCATTTTGGGTTTTGTCAAACTCAATTTCTAATTTGCCATCGTCCCGCAAAATTATTTTTTTGACATTTTTCAAATCGATAACCAGCAATTCATTTTTATTGAGTCCGTTTTCTTTATTATCTTTTGCTATTTCTGCTTTCTTTTTTTCTGGCTCTCTGCTTTCAGTCAATTCCCGTCCTATTTTGGGAGATTGTTGGTTGGTATCATTAGCATTAATTTTTGCCGACTGACCGGTGTGGTTATTTTCGGGTTGCGGTGATTGATTAAGATAAGTAGGATTATTGACTATTGGCGAACTATCACCATTATTTTTTTTCACCACCATTTGTGATTCAAAATATTCTATCATTTTACTGTCACAAAATCCTATTTCTTTTTCCGCAAATTCCTTAATTATTTCAATGGGAACCAAGTTCGGATTACTGGAAGTAATCTTTCCATTTTCAATACCTCAAAAACTACCAGTGTGGGCCCATCCCGTAGCAATGTTGCCTCTTTTCATCATTACTTCCGCTAATCTTTCACACTCTCGCTCTTTTTCCTGCGGAGAAAGTGCACTTCACCAATTTTGCGCCTTTTCATGGACTTGACATCATTTTTCAAATGTTTTTTTGCCTTCGGCTTCTTCTCGGATTTTTCATTGTTGATAAGTTTCGGTCTGGTCTTTACAGCCCTCGCAGAAATCTCCTCCGTCAATCGGAACTGCTATATCGCACTGTTCTTTTACGTATCTCCACTTCGTACCTTCATCTGTAAACTGTCATTGGCCAGAAATTACGCCTTGACATCTTTTAGAATGATATTTACATACTCCCAGGTCCTTATAGCCAGGAATAATTTCGTAAGTGCAAGAGCAACCACTAATTCTACATTTTTTTTGGTTATTGAATTGATTTGACATAGCGTTTTATTTTATATTATTTATTATTATTTTTATACATTACTATTTTACTTTATTGCAAGATTTCTCTGCCGCTCTTTAACGAGAAAAAACCCGACCTGATTCGGCTTCTTTATAGAGATTTTCTTTCTTTTTGTAGGCGGCACCAGATTTATTATAAGCATTAAGAAGTTCCTTTGCCAATTTTTCGGACATTGGACTCGGGCTTTCATCTTCATGCGCTCCTTCCACTAGCCACCTCAATACTATTTTTTCGCCTCGTTCATCATCAATTTCTTTGGGAATCCGTCTCTTTTCAGCCCCAACGCGTCGGCTTTTCATTTCTAAACCTGGCTTGCTATTGACCCGTGCCCCTTCCAGCACAGTCAAAAAGGACAAAGAAGTTTTTTTTTCAATTATTTGGGCGGCTTCGTAAACTATCTTGCGGGCTTTTCTTTTTTCACCATTTTTCATTACTTTGTTAATTAAGCGGCTAACAATTACGGAGGCAAACTTGGGGTCCGGATTAATTACATGTTTTTTAATTACTTTTTTTTTACGCATTATTTAAATTTCTTTTGGTGGCAGTTAACACTTGCTTGACTTTTTCATCACTTCACTTATATTATTATTTTACAGATTACAATTTTTTTTAAAAAACCGCTACTTTTTTTCCGGCTCGGTCCTGGCGGCCCCTCTCTTTTTGTTTCTCTAATAGTTGATTAAATTCTCTTTCGGGAAACTGATAATTATTTTTTGCTAAAAAAAAACGGATCAACTCCTCTGGAATACCTTTGGTATCATACCAAAAAAATATATCTTTGGCTGTAATTGAAGGCTCGTAATACTTGCCTAATTCTTGGATTGATTTATCGATAAACTCTCTAGTCTTAACGATTTCTTTTTTTAATTCATTAATTATTAAATCCTCCCTTTTTTTTAAATGTTGGTAATAAGAAGAATTAACTGCAATCAATTTTTTGCTGACTTCTATCAATTGTTCGGTGCTCAAACCAAGTAAATAGGCCAGCAAGGTGGCCTTTTTGACTAATTTTTTAAGAATATAACCGCGCCCTTTGGGTTCAAATGTGGCACCATCAGCCAGAGCGAAAATAGTTGTTCGCAGGTGGTCGGCTATAATATAGTAATTTCCTTTTTGTTGGTTAGTATTATTCATTATTTAAACTTATTAGTATTATAAATCTAGCATTATTTTTCTTTCGGCAAAAAAATAATCAACCAATTAAACGAAAAATAGACAATGATATTTTGTCGAGACCAAAAATGAATGGGAATGTTTTTAGTTAGACAACGATATGAAAGATAGACTTGATATTTTTGAATAGACAACGATATGAAAGATAAACACGAATATTTTCATTCACAATGAAAGAAAAATAAATTATTTCGGAGTAGGAGCCTTTTTCTTATTAGCCACAGTTCTTCGTTCATGCCCTTTAGCTGTTCGGGAATTGCTTCTAGTGCGCTGACCATGAACCGGCAAAGGATTCGGTTTCCGAGAACGTCTTAATCCTTGGTAAGTGCCTAGATTAATTTGTTCGTTAATATTTTTTTGAACTTGCTCTTTTAACACTCCCTCTGTGGGGAATTCTTTTGCTTTTTGACTAATTTGGCTAATTTGTTCAGAAGTTAAATCCCGAACCTTAACCAATGGATTAATATTTAACTCAGCCAAAATTCGCCGAGAAGGGGAAGTTGGACCGAATTTTTTTCCAAAGCCGTGAATGTAACTTAAAGCCACCCAAATATTTTTGTTTTCCGGTATTTCTTTATTGCCAATGCGAACCATATATTATTTTTTAACCTTGTCTTTGATTGTGCTTGCGATTCTTTTTGCAGTAAATATAGCGTCGTCCTTCTCTTATGATTACTTGGCATCCCCCTTTTCCTTCGCACATTTTTTTGATTGAACTACGAACTTTCATAATATATTATTTTTTTACAATGACCTAACCTTTTTCGTTTTAATGAACTAACCACTAAAAACATGGACAAGGAGACCAAGGCTGCCATTGCCGAAGCAAAAGCCGAACCCACGTCGGAAAAAATGACCCAAGCGGAGGAAAAAATCTGCCAAAAAAGATTTTTAGAGGCTAAAAATTAAATTAATTTAATTAATGAGCAATGATACCGCTAACGCAAAAAAATTTTTTGTTCTTAAATTATTCAACAGCCGCAAAAAAAAGAGTACTGAGTTAATTCTTCAGCCTGGTCAAACCCTCAATATTTACCTGTGCGGACCCACCGTTTACGACCATATTCATATTGGAAATTTACGGCCAGTCATTATTTTTGATGTCCTATTTCGTCTCTTGCTGCACTTAAGCATTCAGGTCAATTATATCCAAAATATTACCGATATTGACGACAAAATAATTGCCAGAGCCCAAAAAGAGAAAAAAAACGAGTCAGAAATTAGCCGACATTATGCGAAATCCTACTGGGCTAATTTAATTCGTTACAATGTTCTATTTCCTACTCATTGGCCGCAAGTAAGTAATTATATCCCCCAAATCCAAGATTTTATTAGTTTATTAGTCAAAAATGGTTCAGCTTATCAGCGAACCGGAGAGATATTTTTTCGGGTAGAGGATAACTCTGAATATGGCAGGCTTTCTGGGCAAAATCTTGCTAAATTGAAAGAAAGAACCCGGGAAATTACTTCGGTCAATAAAGAGAATAAGC